AGTCGTTGTATCTTGTGAGTTGATTGACATCATCCATAGGCGCCGTTGGGGGGCAAAATTGACTTAAGGACAAAGAGTTCAACTCTTACCTCGACTTTGCATCCATTTCACTTAGCGTTTCTTTGTCCTGTCCATTGGCGTTCTTATTATTCTTTTGGTGTTTTATTACTCATTTCCTTGCCGTTACTCTATTCAATTTTTGGTAAGATTAGTAAGTTTAATTTTTTATTTTAAGGTTATCACTCAAATCCATTATATTTATTCAACAATCCCTATAGCAAAGATTAAAGATTGTTGTCAAAATGGTATGCTAGTCGGAACAAGCTGGACTCATCCAGTTAAAAATAAATTAGCCTAAGAATTAACTCGAGCCACCCTGGTATGTTTGGGAGGTGGTTGGAATTGGGTTTCATTAGCCGCGACGTAGAGTGGGTTGAGATTTTCTCGCCTCTCTCTCTTTCATAATTTTTTAATCATATTGATTACAAATGACTAACATGTTATCGTTCAACCGAGTATAGGACATAAACCATCTAAAGAGACTAAATTTGTCAAGCATGTTAAAGGTCGGACACCATTACAGTTAGCCCCTGTTTGGCACGCATAAAAATTATAATTCATTTTTATATTTCTTCTTATCAACAACACGTTCTCCAATAAAATAATATTACACATAATTCCAAAACATTTTCTTCTTTTTTAACTGCACATTTTTGGAAAATATACTATTTCAACCATTAAAATTTCAAAAAATGGAGGCCAAACGGAGGCTTAGTTTTGTACGTTAAGGATGAATTAGAAAAGGTTGCTACTAGTTAGAGACTTAAATGTTCAATTTTTGCTATTATAATTTATAAACATCATTGCCGACGTCCTTCTATCTCTACTTCACCAATTACGTAAAAGCTAACATGTGTCCCCATTTCATGCATGCAATTTCTATTTCAAAACGTTTTATAAATTGGTACTTCTTCTACAAGTAAAGTGTGAAGGGTAATTTATTTATTAGAATCTATATTTTTTTTATTACAAATAATTGTGTATGTTGTACTCAATCGAAAAACTCCTAGTAAAAGCCTACAAGTTAGTTGTTTTTCTTTGTAGAAATTAAGAACGACAAATTTGAAGAATTAAGCATAGAAATCATCAAACTACTAAGATGTGTAATGATCACAAAATATGTGCGATTTTTGTGTAATAACGTGTTCTTACTTCATTGTATTTTTGTAGTTTTATAAAAAAAATGGTGTGTCTATTGTTGTGTTTTGTCAACATACATGTGAATTATATGTTCATTTTTACGTGTGGATAATTATGTCTAGTAGAAAACATGACCCTTTTACGTCAAATCAGATATGAGCAAGCAAATATCTATAAACAGATTGAAAATGAGTAACTTGAATACAACTCTACTTATAAGTGTGTCTTTGCACACTTATTTAATACCTAAATAAGCTAATTATTTATTTATTTGAGCGAATTTCTATTCACAATTGGGTTATGTTGGCTTTTGTATGCAAAAATCACCAAAATGGACTGAAAGCATACAAAAATGCGAAGTTGGGGACTAATATGAACAAGATCAGAAATTGGAGGATTTGGAGTGCAATTTATGGAGGGCAATATTGAAAGAATAGTCAAAATTCGAGGATCAAAATGTACCAACCATAGTTGAGGGACCAAGTGCGCAAATATTGGAGGGACTTAGCTGCAAAATGGAAGAAATTTCCATATTTCCTGCAGAAAACAGAGGCAGTGGCATTGCAACACCACTGTTCTGGCGTTGTGTCGCCACTTTTGATGAAAAAGTGACTTTGGGGACCAATTTGTGCAATTCCGAAAAGCCCAGGACCAAGACTGCAATTTCCCCTAGGTTTTAATATAAAAACCTGCCTTTTGATTTTTCTTCCACAATTTTGGATTTGGAGCGTCTCTGCCGACGGATTCTTTTTCTTTTCTTTTCCTTATTTTCTTTTTCTTTCCTTTTTGTTTGGTAATTTTGGAGATCAATCAAGAGCATATAAAGTTTAATACATTAAATTGTTGAAGAAATGGAGGAAGACACGTGAAAGAACATCAAAGGGGAATCTTCAAAAGAGTTTTTCTTCCTTTTATCTTTTGTCTTTCATTATAAATTGTTTAGATCTTATGACTTCATTCATGAACTAGATAATTTATCTAGGGTTCGATGTAG